GATCACAGCGAGCCACCGTGCCCGGCTGCATAAGGATGTGATTTTTCCGTAGAGGCTCTTACCTTTTACTTTAAACATTCTTTGAGGGTTGTTGTTGCTTCCCACCCTCCCCCTTTTATTTCTATAGAGGTCAGCCGGAGTCAAGATGTCTGGGACCGAGGAAGCAATTCTTGGAGGACGTGAAAGCCATCCTGCTGCAGGCAGCGGCGCGGTGCTGTGCTTTGGACAGGTAACTGGTTCCTTCATGCCTGGGAAGGTTGAGGTTGAGTCAAGTTAGGGCACGGCAGTTTGTAGAGCGGCGTGTACATGTGTGAATAGTACATAGTACGTTTACATAGTACATGTGTGAATAGTACACAGTACGTTTACATAGTACATGTGCTGTCTCTTATACACATCTAGATGTGTATAAGAGACAGGGCGAAGAGGGAACATGGAGAGAGGGAGCAAGAGAGACAGGGAAGAGGTCCCAGCTTATTTATTTATTTTATGGTTGTTTTTCATTTTTTGAGGCAGGATCTTGCTGTGATGCACAGGCTGAGGTGCAGTGGTGCCCTCGTTGCTCACTGCAGCCTTGAACTCCTGGGCGAAGTGATCTTCCTGCTTCAGCCTCCCGAGTAGCTGGGATCGCAGGCACATGACACCACCCCCAGTTAATTAAAAAAAATTTTTTTTTGTAGAGACAGGGGCTCCCTATGTTGCCTAGGCCAGTCTGAAACTCCTGGACTCAAGTCATCCTCCTGCCTTGTGCCTCCCAAAGTGCCAGGATTACAGGCATGAGGCGTCATGCCCAGCCCCACACTCCAACCACCAGATCTCTCGTGAACTGAGTGAGAAGTCACTCAACACCAAGGGGGTGGCACTAAGCTGTCAGTGAGGAATCCAGGCCCAGGATCCGGTGCTTCCCACCAGGCCGCGCCTCCGGGTGGGAGGCCGCGCTCCAACACGGAATTGGGAGGGAATAATCACGAAACTATATCCGTGTCTTTGAGAATTGAAGTGAATTGAACCCGAAAAACCTGTGAATTCTGTGGGGGAGTCCACAGACCCCAAGTTAAGAACTTTGCTCATGGAAGGTTGTGCCCTTGAGCCCCAGTCCCCAAGTGTGTGTCGCCTCCTCCCGCTGGGAAATTGGAGCATTCTTTGGAAAAAAAAAAAAAAGGAAAACGCTCTGCAGTTTGTTCTCCGTATGAGGGGGTGGCTGCTGGGTTTTGTGAACGGTGCCTCAGTCTTCTCATGCTCATCGTCTCTGTGAGGGCAGGGGTTTGTGTCTTGTCCTCACTGCGGTATTCTCAGAAGCTAACAGTGCGGGAACGTGCCCGATGCTTACCTGACGTCAACGGGGAACGCATGGTGGGGCCCATTTTCTCCGCTGCACCTGAGAAGCCACCTGTGCAAAAGTTGTACGTCTGTTCTCTGATATTCATGTGTAACAATTCTTAACCCTGGTTTACTTTTTTTTACCTCTTGCCCTTAGGAGTTTTGGAAATGCACTTGGAAACTGTGTTCTGGACAAAGACTACCTGAGGTCACTAAATAAGCTTCCGCGCCAGGTACATCAGACGTGGATGAGTGCCGTGCGGATCACGCAGCAAACTCTCCTGTGTCGTGAGTTGAGTGCTTGGAGGATGCGAGGAGAAGTGAGGACTCAGCTGTTCAGAGGGTCTGGAATGTTTATTTCAGATTTCGAATGTTAGAGCCAGCAGGAACTAATCACAACAGTTTACTTTTTAAAAAATCACATCGTTTGACAGGAATGTGAGATCTGGAGCATTTGTGTGACATGTAGGTAGGGAACTGTGGCTGGGGGTAGTCTGTGAAGCCTCAGAGCGAGCACACAGCCCTCTGCAGCGCCGCTCTCCTTCCCACACACTCCCAGCCTCACCGCTGAGCCTTCATTGTTTTCCTTAGTTCTCGTGTCATTAAGATTTAGACGTCCATTATTTCTGTCAGTACCTGTCACGTGATCTGAGCATTTGCCTTTGGAGAATGGGGTCTGTGGCCGGGCAGCCCCGAGTCACACCTGACTTGTGATGAGTAGCTTCTGGAGTGTAGCTTCTGGAGTGTTCCTCCTGCCTCATCTGCGCTCCGAGGTCCCTGCCATGTCACCCCCCAGAGCAGCATTTCCATCCTGTGCCTGAGGGATTCTTTTCCTCACGGAGCCCCACAAGGTGTGTGTCTCTGGG